CCCAAAAGGTTTGGACTGTTGTGTTTTCATTTTCATTTGTTTCCATATATTTTTAAATTTCTTCTCTAAGTGCCTGGTTGACCCATTCATTCTTTAGTAAGGTGTTCTTTAACCTCCATGCATTTGGAGGTTTTCCCAGACTTTTTCCTGTAGTTGATTTCAAGTTTCATAGCATTGTGATCTGAAAATGTGCGTAGTATGATCTGAATTCTTCAATATTTATTGAGTGCTCTTTTGTGACCCAGCATGTGATCTATCTTGGAGAATGTTCCATGTGCACTCAAGAAGAATGTGTGTTCTGCTGCTTTAGGATGAAAAGTTCTGAATATATCTGTGAAGTCCATCTGGTCCAGTATATCATTCAGAGCCATGGTTTCTTTTTTGATTTTCTGTTAGATGATCTGTCCATCATTGTAAGTGGAGTATTAAAGTCTCCTGCAATTACCACATTCTTACCAATAAGATTTCTTATGTTTGTGATTAATTGTTTTATATATTTGGGTACTCCCGAATTGGATGCATAAACATTTATAATTGTTAGCTCTTCTTGATGGAGAGACCCCATAATTATGATATAATGCCCTTCTTCACCTTTTATACAGCCTTTAGTTTAAAATCTAGTTTGTCTGATATAAGTATGGCTAATCCAGCTTCCTTTTGACTACCAGTAGCATGATAGATGGTTCTCCATCCCCTCACTTTCAATTAGAAGGTGTCTTCAGGTTGAAAATGGGTCTCTTGTAGACAGCAAATAGATGGGTCAATTCTTTATGTATTTTGGATACTAACCCTTTATCAGATATGTCATTTGTAAGTATCTTCTGCCATTTATTAGGTTGTCTTTTAGTTGTGCTGTTTCCTTTGCTGTGCAGAAAGAAGCCTTTTATTTTGATGTAGTCTCAATAGTTTTTGTTTTTGTTTTTGTTTCCCTTGTCCCAGGGGTCTATCTAGAAAGATGTTGTCAGAGAAATTATTGCCTGTGCTCTGTTCTGTCTAGGTCTTTTATGGTTTCAGGTCTCACAGTTAGGTCCTTAATTCATCTTGAGTTTATTTTTGTGTATGGTATAAGAAAGTGGTCTAATTTTATTCTTTTGCATGTAGCTGTCCAGTTTTCCCAACACCATTTGTTAAAAAGAATGTTTTTTCCCCATTGCTTATTCTTGGTATTTTGCCAAAGATTAGTTGACCATATAATCGTGAGTTTATTTCGGGGCTCTCCATTCTGTTCTGTTGATCTACGTGTCTGTTTTTGTGCCAGTACCATACTGTTTTGATTACTACTGCTTTGTAGTAATGGTACTTTGTAGTATATCTTGAAATCTTGTAGCAAGGTACTTTGTAGTATATCTTGAAATCTGGGATTGTGATACCTCCAGTTTTGTTCTTTTTTAAGATTGTTTTGGCTATTTGGGTCTTTTGTGGTTGCATACAAATTTTATGATGATTTACTCTAGTTCTGTGAAAAATGCTATTGGTAATTTGATAGGGGTTGCATTAAATCTGTAGATTGCTTTGCATAGTGTGGACATTTTAACAATATTGGCTTTTATAATTGATGAGCATGGAATATCTTTCCATTTGTTTATGTCGTTTGCAGCTAATTTTAAAGAGAAGTTCCTAGGATTAGGGGTTAATATATTACTAAGCACTGGATGGAGCAGACAAAAGGTTAAGGGTTATAACAGAAAGTGGAGTGTTAAGTGTACTTATAAGCCACTCAGAAAATGTTCACATAGATATTCAACAAACTTTATTTAAGCATAATATACCTACTGAAAAATACACCTATCGATAGTCACAACTTGATGGATATTCACAGTGAATATAACAGTGTAATGTTAACTAGCATAGAGCATAGAACATTAGCAACACTGCATAGCATTTTAATAATATATCATTTATTTTAAGCAGGGTGTATTGTTCTTTTGAAATTGGTCAGGAAAAAAAGTAAATGAGTTACTCTGATTGTGAAATTTTCTCTTCTCTGTCAACCAGCTTATGATATATGTGGCAGGGGGGCATTTATTAAGCTAACAAGTAGTAAAGTACAATTGTAATAGCCACAGTATTTAGGTAGCTAACGATTGGGAACAGTCCATGTGTCTAAAATAGAATGGATAAACATGTAGTATATTCCCATAATGAAGTACTACTCAACAATAAAAAGGAACAAACTACTGATACAACGTTGTAGATCAACCTCAAAAACTTTATGCTGAGTGAAAAAAGTACATAGAAATTACACAAAAGAGTACATAGAACTTCCATTTATATCAAGTTCTAGAACAGGGAAAACTAATCTGGGGTGGGAAAAATTTGAGCAGTGGTTCCCTATGAGAGAAGCAGTCCCGGATTAACTGGGAAGGGGCCAAGGATTAACTGGAAATGGGCACTTCTTGGAGTGGTAGTAAAATTCTTTATCTTCATACACATTTTCACAGATTTTGTGTGTGTGTGTGTGTGCGTGAGAGAGAGAGAGAAGGAGAGAGCACGCAGATGTTTTCACAAGTCAGGGAGGGGCAGAGGGAGAGGAGGAGAGAGAATTCCAAGTAGGTTTCATTCCCAGTGTGGAGCCTGATGCAGGGCTCGATCTCATAACTGTGAGATTATGATCTGAGCCAAAACTAAGAGTCAGATGCTTAACTGACTGAGCCACCCAAGTGTCCCTTTTTAAATTATTTTTATTTTATTTTTTATGTATTTCATTTTTACAGTATGTACTTCTCAAAACTCTTAGAATGGTAAACATAAGACTTATGCATTTTCTTTTATGTAAATTTTACCTCAAAAGAAAAACGTGAACAAATAACTGAACTCAAGTTAATGAAATGCATGTGGAAGTGTCTAGGAGGAAGTGTACAGATGTCTGTAACTGAATTTGAAATGCATAAAAAAAGAAGATGAATGTAGGTATGAATGTAGGTATGAATGCATAGGGAATGGATAGTTAATGGATATAATGGATAGTTATAAAGTAAGTAAAATGCTAATGGGAAAATTCAGATGGTTAGTATGTGGGTGTTCACTGTAATTTTATTTTAATTTTTCTGTATGTTTATTATTTTTCATTATAAAATGTTGGAGGAAGAAACTTAGGCAATACAGTAATCATAAAAATAGGACTTTTATCATGGATAGCTTGTCACAGTGAGTATTGGAAGAAAACAGAAGATAATGTTTAGGTGTAAGACATTGTAGCCTGTGACCACAAATGGCTTGCAACATGTTATTTTTGGTTCACAAAATGTTTGTTTTTATTTTTAATTAGCCTGTCTCTAAAACTAGAGTGATTTCACATAAAAGGTCTAGATTTCTGTCTGCTTATTTTTAGGATTTGAAAGACAAAACAATCAATGGAATAGAATAGAGAATCCAAAGATAGATACAGATTTGTATGGATATTTTGCATATGAGAAAGGTGGTATTTCAGGTTAGAGGAAAAGAAACATATTACTCAGTGAAGCATTTGGGAAAAAATAAAGCTGAAATCCTTTCACACTTACTAAGTAAATATAAATTCCAGATGGAGCAAAGATTAAAAAAAAAAAAAACTATTCCTAGAACCCCTAGTCCATCAGTAGAGTGATTTTATCTGAGTGGTTTTAACTGGAGACTTAAAAGAGTATAGCCTATATCCCAGATCATAGGATTCCAGTAAGTTCTGCAATATACTGGAAAACGGAATCATACATGCTTTTGGAGTCAGTAAGATCTAGGTTTAAATCTTTTTTCTGCTCTTAATCAGACTTTTTGCAAGGTACAGAACCAATCTGAGCCTTAGTTTCCCCAATAATCAGTCAATATAAAATCTTAAAATTCTGCCACAGAGGGTTGTTTTGAAGATTAGATGAAATTTCATTATATGAAACTGTTGCCCAATTCCTGCCGAGAAGTGAACGTTCAATAAATTTGCAGTAGAGAGGGATGAAGAAACAGACTTTGAACAGCTATGGAGAACTGGCCCAGAACAGATATTTACCTGTAAAGGTTGAGAAAATTCCTTGACGTTTATTTCCATTAGCAAACACTTATCTAGAGCCTACTGTATGCCATGAATCCTATTTGGCACTAGAACTATAATAGTAAAAATAGAAGAAATTACCACTTAAAAAAAATCTTAAATTAGGATAGTCAGGTTTTATAAGAAAAAAATTCAAGTAGTGAGAGTATTTAAATTTGATAATTTCCTTAAACTTAATATTGTTATGACTCTGGCATTTTGTGGTGTGCTACAGTTTCTTGTGTTAGTTAAAGGAACCATGTGGAAGCAATTTTCCAAGAAAAATGAATAGTTTGGCTACAACCATGAAAGATCAATTTCTTGGGATAACTGTTAAGAGAGAATGCATTACGGAGATGAGATACTAAACGAAATTGCTAAGTGGTGGGTGAAATGCTTAATGAGATTTTTAATGTACTTCTCTTTTCCATTTAAATATTTTTGCTAGTTACTAGTATTTGCCTAGGCTTACCTTACCAAATCATTTGTTTACACTAAATGAAGATAATAGAGTTCCTAGGTCAGTTTTGCTGATACTTAGTTAATCGAGACAATACAAACTATTTTCTCAATAACTTTTCATTAATAGTACTCTAATGTAGAGTACTGAATTTGAGATGGTAAAAATACCTGCAAGTAATCAGATAAGCTAGGATTAAAAGTATATATATCTAATCTGTTATTTTGGTATTAATGCCATATCTGAAATTATGCTTCAAATATTTACCAAATTGCAGAAAATGTAAATTGTATGCCAAATTGGGTTTTACGTTATATCTAATGTCCATCTGCTAATAAACTCCGTAACTATACCAATCCATTTGCCATGACAATAATGTTTTGGCATGGAGAGATTATTATAATATATAATGTAATTTTTTATAATAGTAATGTCTTAATCACTTTCATTAAGGTGTAGAAATATTTTGCATCTTCTGAGCATTCTCTATAATGATACGTTTTTTGGTAGTATTGTAAATAAACTTTTTTTTTTTTTTAGTTTGCTGGAAACCATGTCTCACTATACAGATGAACCCAGATTTACCATAGAGCAGATAGATCTGCTTCAGCGCCTTCGGCGTACTGGAATGACTAAACATGAAATTCTCCATGCCTTGGAAACGTTGGACCGTCTTGATCAAGAGCATAGTGACAAGTTTGGAAGAAGGTCCAGCTATGGAGGAAGTTCTTATGGGAATAGTACCAACAATGTTCCAGCATCTTCCTCTACAGCTACAGCTTCCACACAGACCCAGCATTCTGGAATGTCCCCATCACCCAGCAACAGTTATGATACCTCCCCACAGCCTTGCACTACCAATCAAAATGGGAGAGAGAATAACGAGCGATTATCTACATCCAATGGAAAGATGTCACCCACTCGCTACCATGCAAACAGCATGGGTCAGAGGTCATACAGTTTTGAAGCCTCAGAAGAGGACCTAGATGTAGATGATAAAGTGGAGGAGTTAATGAGGTTAGTTATTCTGCTTACTCAAGAGTCCCCAGAATGTCTGTGTTCTTAGACTGGTTTTGAGTAATATACTGTATTTCAGCTACTTACCTGTTAAGAACTGTGATTTCCCCCTTCTCCTCTTGGAGATGAAAGAAAAAAAAATTCTAATTTTATGATTATAATTCAGATTTTGTCTTCTCTACCTTAGCCCTTTCTCTTTGCTGCTTGATAAACCTTTTACATTCTGTTTACCAAAGCAGAAGTTAGCCTTCTCTTTGTAGTTCTAATTGCTAACATCTGTATTTTCTGGATTTTTAACAGACACATTCTGATCCTTAGAATTTTTTTTTGATCCTTAGAATTTTTGAGAGAGATGATTTTATGATACAAAATGTATACACTCTTAATTTTTCACTCTAACATACCACAACAAAAGAATTTTGAGGACCTGTTATTTAAAAAGTGTTCTTGGGGCGCCTGGGTGGCGCAGTCGGTTAAGCGTCCGACTTCAGCCAGGTCACGATCTCGCGCTCCGTGAGTTCGAGCCCCGCGTCGGGCTCTGGGCTGATGGCTCAGAGCCTGGAGCCTGTTTCCGATTCTGTGTCTCCCTCTCTCTCTGCCCCTCCCCTGTTCATGCTCTGTCTCTCTCTGTCCCAAAAAATAAATAAATGTTGAAAAAAAAAAATTTAAAAAAAAAAGTGTTCTTACGAAGAAGAATAGACATGGTTTCTACCCCTAAGAAGCTAAAGTTCTAATTTAAGAGATGCATATATTTATATATTTTTTGTTATCCGTTACAAGGGAAGTATAAGCCTTTGTTGTTTTAAACACTGAAAAAGACAGAAGTCCACTTTCAACAGAGGTGATTAGGAAAGACTTCACACTGGACCTGGAACACTTTGAGGACAGAACCATGTGTTTTCAAATGTTGTGTTTCCAGAATCTAGAATTGTCCTTGACACAGAGTAACGGTTTAATATGTTATGTGAATGGATGAATTTGAGCTAAATCTGAAAGAATAGCCTTTGTTTTGAAATATAGGAATTTTATTTAAAGTTAAGGGAATAGTAAATAATAGGTAGAAAAGGCAAGACATGTTTAGGCTTCTAAAGATTGTATGGGCTAGACTATGGTAATAAGAATATTACGACTCAGTACAGGTTTTGGAAGATTTGAGTTCCACGCAAGTAGTTTATGTTTAATTTGACTGGAATTAAGGCTTTTTTACAGGTCTGTGGGAATAGACATGATAAAAGCATTGTTTTCAATAGATTACCACTACTGTAGTAGGGAGGATAGCCTGCAGGTAGTTACAATAGATAATGAAAGAATTTACAGTACGAATTTTGTCAGAAATAAAATTAAAACCTATGAGTTATAGTTCTTCCTAAAGATTTTAAGACTTGAAGATAGTATAATGGTGACTTAATATTGCCGTATGGGAGATCTATTCTATAGTGCTGCCGTGGTAAAATACCTTTTAAACAAACAGTCCCAAATTTGTTTTTAGGGTTACACTGCCTTATATGGAATCATGAGTTGAAGGGCTATTGCATCTAGATGCCAATGTAATTCCTGTGATGAATAGGTTCATAGAGCAGCCATTGGACCCTGTTATTTAAATGTTTAAAACTTAAAAATATAAGCGATCAATTTGGCTTTGAATTCATTGTCATTTATTAAAGCAGCTAGCCACAGTTTAGGTGTTCTTTTGATTTTAATATGTATATCATTGTCATGATTGAGCGAGAAAACCATTTGGGCAAATAGAAGTTACTTAAGTCCCTGAAATATAACAAGGTTAGCTTTTAATTATTCTGAGTAGAGAGGGTATCACTAATAAAATTTATATGCTACTTGTTTTTTGTTGCTGTCATTAATCAGTTTTAATAAGCTTTTAACATATAATAGTTAATTCCCAAATGTGTATTAGACTGCCATGAAATTTAGGGAAACTTTCATGTTAACAAAGGGCTCTGGGAGATTGACCAAGATCTAAAGCTTGACTATAATGGTCTAAAAACTTAACTATTAACTCTTACATTGGCATATTGTTGTAATGCAACTATGTTTTCAAAATAAACAGAAAACCTATTTAGCAATGAATAGGATTTGTAATTAAATCCCACCATAAATGCACATTCACGTTTCATCATTAAATGTATACATGTTTATGCACTGCAGCATTTAATTTACAAACTGCCACTTGTTGTATAGTTAGGATACTTTGTCCTATTCTCTGCTTCTTTGAACTTCTACTTTGGTTCTCTAATCATCTAGGGGGTCTCACTGAACTTTCTGGCTCTCTGTGGTCCTCTGCCATTGTGTTCTCACCCACACTGGCACTTCCTTTTGTACCCACTTCTAATTTTTCTCAAGTTTGCACATAGTAACCTTAGATCAGAGGGAGAAGTTTATTGCATGACTATTCTCAACCTTTTAATCATCATAACAGTGCTGTGTGTGAGGTGGAGCAGAAAAATTGAGATTCACAAAATTTAAATAACTAGCCCAAGAAAACCTAAATATTAAGTGGCAGAGCCTGAATTCTGACCCACGTCTTTATTACCATGTCTCTGGTATCTGTTGCCTCTGTAAATAAATTTTTCACATCTGCAGATTTCAGTAAGATTTTAAGAACAGTGGTAGATACAACACAAGACAAACTTGTGAATGCCTTAATGGGCTGTTCCTCCCTCCCTCACCCCCCACGTGCATTTGCCACTTCAGATCATTTACTAACCAGATGAATTTTTATTTGGTAGTGTTAGAGAAATTTTTGAGTGGTGGATCTTTCAGTATCCTGTGCCTACATAGGGCTATCCTGCCCTTACTAATCACTCAACACTATGGTGACATTATAGTGAATTAGGTGGGCTGTAAGTAGGGAGAATGAGTACCTGAATGCCTTCCTGTCTCCTTTTCTAGATACATGTAATTCACATCTTGCATGCTCACATTTCCCTGCGTCTACAGCACTCAACCATAAGATAAATATTTTTCAAATTACATAAGCCGTTGAGTTCAGACTTAATACCTAATAATTTCAGGGCACACAAGGAAATTTTTTATAGAAATTAGGTTATAATTGTATATTTGATCAACATATAGGATCATATTTGATCAACTGTTAGGAAAGAATCAGAAAGAAAGTAACTTTTCTCATTTTTAATTGATCATGGTGAAACAAGAAAGAAACTAGAATGTAAGCTCTCAACACATTATTGAATATATAACATTTTAGGAAGAACTTTAAAACCAAGAGCTAGAATGAACACCCATTTCACATATTAATATTTTTTAAATGCATCTATTAACACACATATTTATATACTGTTGTATATATACATCCGTTTATATTACAGTGTACATCTATTAAAGTGCCTGCTCTTTCACGTATGTATTATAAAATAACAAGTAAAATGAGGCTTATGAAGAAGTCATAAACAATGCCATATATTATAGGTGTTATGCTTAACTACCCATGTACTTAAATGTTAGTATTTTATACAAACTGTGTTAGTATTTTATACAAGATCTAAGACTTTATTCTGAGTGGTTGTCTATATGCCTAACAATAGGTGATTTAGGATATTTATTTTCTAAATTCAGTTATCATGTTGTTTATACATATAGAGTAGCTTTTCTTTTAAAATTATCTTTAAAATTTTTAAATTATGCTTTATCTCCATGAGTAGAAATTAGAGGAGCAAGTTTTTATTTAAAAGCTAAAGAATTTATATGTAATTATATTTTCTCACCTGTGAAATAGTCTTTGTAGGGACTGGTCCATCTCTGGAAGTCTTTGAGATAGATGGCTACCTTTAAGGGGTCCTAAAGAATGTGTAGTGTATATCAACTGAGAAAATACAGAAGATCTTAAAGCATACAACTTTTAAACACGTAGTCTTTAATAGCCTTCATTCTGGAAATGGAAGGATTGCCATTTTGAACTAGCATAAATAACTCTTTTTCCATTCTGATTTAGGAAGCTTAAACATATCTGAGATTAAGAATTTAGAGCTGTTTTATAAATTATCTAGATCAGGTTTGCCATACTACAACCTTTTATCTTCAACTACAAATTTGTTCATTCACTGAACAAATTAAGCTCTATTATATGCAAACCCCATGATGAATAAGACGCAATCTTTGTGCCAAAAGACTTCACAGGCTAGTAGGAGCGATAAGACCAGGTCTGGGGAACTGCTATAATACAGAATACCATGTAATAGGTTAGCATGTGAGTAGTATAATTGAAATGATAAAGTTAGTTGTTGTAAGAAAAGATCTTTCTTAGCTGTATCAGGGAGAACGTCTCTGAATAGATGACTGTTAAATTGTGTCTTAAAGAAAGGGTGATTCTACAAAGAGGCATTCCTGATTAATTCATTTGGATGTTAAGAAAGGTCTGTGGGTAACAATGGAAAGTTTAGCAAGTTATAAAAATAATGACAATGGAGGGTGGAAAGGAAGAATTTTATCCCCATGTGGAAATCATCCAGATAGATGAATTCAGCATGGCTGTGATTTGGAAAAGGTAGTAGGAGGAGAGGACATCGATTTTAAGTGGTTCGATGCAAATAGAGTGGTAGATTATCTTGAAAGTAAGCCATGGAATCAAAGAAGATCAACTTGTGTTTCACTATAAGACTTGAGGAGTACAAATCATGAGGAATGTGAGATTTTATAAGAGAAGTGAATCACGATAAGCACTTGGTGATTAAAATAAAAACTTGAAAAAATTGGTTTTCCTAAAAAAAAAAGAAGTGAAGAAAAAGGGATCCATTCTTTTTAAAGAGGATGAAAAATTTCAAATGAAGACAGAAAGTAAGCAGTAGGAGAATATAAGGAAATTAGATTTGGAGTAACCAAAAGAGTTTTCACATCAGGAAATTGGTGATTTCAGAGTTTTGATGTGGACAGTAGGAGAGCCTTGTTGTTAAAGAAGACTGAATGAGGGGGAATATGTGAAAGTTTAAAGAACATAGTTAACCCTGTAGAATGGAGGTCTTTGAAATACACAAGAGAACTGGACACAGTGAAATTTGAATGCTATTACTATTTTGAAATACAGGTCTGCCCTCACCCCCCGCCCACCATCTGAAAGCTTGAGTTATACCACTTCACTTTTAGGAAAGACCTACATTCGTACCTGTTTTCACTAACCGAAATCCGAAGGAGATTTTGGCTTTTACCAAAAAATGCTATTACCATACTAATGTAGCTCTTTTATAAAAGCAGAGTGGCATACTGCGAACCTTCGGAAAGCAGGGGATACCTATACCTGATGAAACCAACTAAACACATCATTACTTGTGTCTAAATCTTTCCATGGTGCCTTAAAGCACCTGATATAGATGTTTACTTCAGATGTAGGTAATTATAGCAGATCCTTTGTTTCTTCTTCTGGGATTCTTTCTGGAGTTTTATAAAATAATAGTCATTGTTTAATGGTTTTACAGCTTCAAAAAATTTTTCATTGAAGAATTTTTTATTTTTTATATTATGCACATATACACACATATACATACATTTAACACTAAATTTTATTTAAATTTAATTTCCATGCTTGGAGAAAAATTTTAAAAGCCTTGTGATGGTGGTATTAATGTTCTCATTTTACCAGATGATGAAACCAGGGTCCAGCTTTATTAAATGACTTGCCCAAGCATATCCTTATCTTTTAAGTCTTAAGTTTTTCTTCAGTTTGAAAAAGCTTCTCTCTGGTAAAGCAGTTGACTAAAGAGGTTTTGTTACTATTATTTTTTTAACTTATTTTAACTTGGTACTTAGGAACTTGCCAAGTATCTAAAAATATAGTCTATGGGAGGGTAAATGAATTGCTGCTGTTTTGCAGACTTTTTGAAGTTCTTTTTGTCTTTCTGCAGCCCTTGATAATGTCATACTGCAAGGCTGTGAATAATTCACAAATTGGATATTTCCTATTGGAATAATTGAATGTTATCTCCTCTTTATGATTTAGTGTCTACTCTAGGTGAATTTGATTTAAAATAAATTGATTTAAATTCCAATTTAAATCCGTAGTCAAGAAAATACCATTTAATCATTTTTCCCAGAAAGCACGTTTTTTATTTAACCTTAATAAATATTCTGTTAAACTCACTTTTCATTTTCCTAGAAGGATAGTCTATACATTGCAATGCAGTGCTTTATTTAAATTTTTTCAGATTAATTTTGAAGCTGTATCAGAGACCAAATGATTTGGTTGTTTTATTTACGTAAGGCAAATTCATACTGCTGAAATTATCCCTTGCGCAGGTATTTATTGGTGGATTTTGAGAGCCATTTGGTCTATACTACCTGTATTATACAGAGCAGTTTATTTTATTTGACTTTAAAATGTATTTAAATGTGCCTTTTTATTTCAGATACACAGTTTTAAATCAAATGAGAGTGCATGTTTTTCAAAGAAATAACTTCCAATATGAACAAGCATTTTGGAGGGAATCTAGCCAGTATCTAGATCAGAATCTAGAGGAGTATGAGAAATTTTAAGTATTGGATTAGGCAGTTGTTTTCTTTCTTTAGGAATCTTTTTGACTAGCATTTCTAACCAGTAGGTCAGGAATATACAGAAGAGCTTCAGATTGAAAGCTTGTCACTACTATTACTTCTCTGCTCTTTTCCAGAATTCCTGAAAGGGAACATTGGTATCCATTCACACAATGTATAGCCCCTCCTCACGAAAGGGCTAACATACCTGCTCTAAGTTAAATCACAACTGATTATTTTTGGGTAGGATCTTTTCTTTTGTTACTCCAAATAATCTTTAGAAAGACTTGGGCTCCTATAAGTAGTTTGGAAGTTTGTGGTTCATTTACAAAATGATTTGTAAAGATTTCATGATCCTTTTTTCTCAGATCAGGGGTCGGAAAGAGTAGATGGTAAACATCTTACACTTTGTGGCCAAGAGGCAAAATAGAGGATATAATACACATACTTAATACTTAACATCTAAGAGGGAAAAAAAAAGGCACAGATTTTTATTGACAAAATACAATATTGAATATAGTTTTTAAAACATAGGCCTACCAATAGAAGGATGGAATTTTTGGTGAGGAGATAATACTTTGCTTAATTCATTTTCAGAGTTAGTGTTCTCTGTCATCACATAATGACTGCAAGTGTGAAAAACATTCTTACTTAGCTCTTACAGGTTGTATAAAAACAGTTGGGAGGCCAGATTTAGCCATAGTTTGCTGACCCTATATGAGATTATAAATTACCACTATTCTGTGGTTTTTTTGAGCTTGATCAAAAATCAATACTTTATTTATGTAATCCTTTTGAACATAAAGTATTCAAAGAGAAATTGGTTGGTTTTAAGGGTATAAGTTTTACTTAAAGTGTATTTGTTGTGGTGGAGAAATAGAAGTCTTGCCTTTCATTGTTGTTCTAGTAAATGTCTCGTCTTGTGAGAATTTGTTGTTGTCTTAGTGGAGGAAAAATTAGATCTATAATATGTATGTAATCTCAAGGACACAATATAGTTTTAAGTACTCTATATTACATATAATAGGAAATTAATGTTGCCTTTTTATATTAAAATTCTGTATTCATTTCATCCCACTTAATTTTTTGGGGGGGGGTTTATACAGGAAAAAGACGGCAAATTAAAATTTTCAAATGGCTAATGTTTTTAGCAGTTGTAAGAATGATGATGATTTCTGTTCCTTTAACAAAGGTTTTAAAATGAACATTATTTATGCAGTTTCATAGTTAACATGCGAGCCCACAGTCTACTCACAACTGATTTTTGTTGTTGTTATTGCTTTTTATTTTTCTAGGATTTCTGTCTGTGTAAGGTATATTCATTCCTCAGTAATGAAACTTAGTATATACCATATGGCAGCCTTGTTCCTAATGTGAATTACACACAGCATGCGATTAACCATCGTCTGGTATGAGACTTATATCTACTGTGGCATTCACTAAAGCGTCTGTCTGATGGTGTGATGTTTTAGGACTTGAATATTTGGTGTTTCTTGGTTTGTTTTAATTTCATATTTTCACACAAGCTTGGTCTGTTTACCTTTATTTTTGTGTTCTTTCTTTCTATGTGCTCCCCACCTCTCTGCTTCACCTTTCTTAGCAAAGATGAGGATTTCTACCTTCAACATACATTGTTGGTCTTGTCTTCTGTTTTTGTTAGGAGGGACAGCAGTGTGATAAAAGAGGAAATCAAAGCCTTTCTTGCCAATCGGAGGATTTCCCAAGCAGTTGTTGCACAGGTAACAGGTAAGAGCTAAAGAGCCCTTTATTCTGGAATCATGTCTAGTCTCTGCCTTCTGGTGCAGATGTTGGAATATTGCTTGCATTTCTGCATTGCAGCACAGACCTGTCAACTTAGGCATAATAATGTATGCCTATGATTTAAAACCCATTGTCTCTGATATCATGAAACTTCTCCAGTGATTTTTTTTTTTAAACTGGTGCTAGTAAATTTTATAGCATTTGTGATAACCACAAAATTCCCCATTTTATGACTAAAAAAGGGTCTCTGGTTTTCTTGTAACTGACAGAGCTTATGACACATGCACATCCAACTGCTATCTACATTTCATGTTTTTAAAAGCTGCAGTCCTCCTGATTCTCGATTTTACCAATTAAAAAATTATCCATGAGAGTAAAGGAAGTTTTTTTTTTTTAAGCCCTTTTCGTATGTGAAGCTCTCTTCAAACCGTTACTGAGAAGATAAGAGTTATCATTGTCTTCTCTTTGTTCTTTATATACCATCCCATTACCCACCCCACCGCAGCCCCATCTCAAGTATGTGGTGTATATGTGTCATTCTCTATTCAGATTGCGTTTTTTATGGAGTTCTTAAATATGGGGGTAGCATGTCGTGTTTGTTGGTATGTATTCTTTCTTTCTCGGATATCAGTGATTTATTTATAGACCTAATATAAACTCAACTATATCTTAGTCGTTAGAAGAACTGGAAACTCTTTTAACTACATTTTGTATTTGGTACGTTGTTGTATGTGGTACATTAATGAATTTAAAAATTAGTTTTTTCCTCCTCCCCTCCTTGTTTGACATGCCGTTAGCACCTACGTGACTTTGGGCTTTTTAGCCTCTGCATCTCAGATTCTTACCTATATGATGAAATAGTTGGATCTAATCACATAGTACCTTCCAATTTTAAGATATCATTTCTGTTCTCTAGACATCGGAATTTATTGAAGCTAATTTATGTAAAAAAGTTGTTATTGACCATCAGTATGGTAAAAAATGAAACTTGAGATTTCAGAAGTCTTAAATTTCATCCCAAGAGTCAACCAATTCTAATATATATGTGTGTGTGATATATAACACTAGTAATATACTTTTACAAATGATGCCTATATTCATGGTAAAAGATTCTAATTAAAGGCATATCCTTCCATGTAGAAATCTTTCTTAATAGAAGGATGTGTACACATTTAATTTTTATACCTTTCAATAGAATATTTAAAATACATTTTTACCTTTATCTTCAAGGATTAAGGAATATGCTAAGGGCATTGTAAGGGCAAGTTTTGGTAAAACCCACTGATGTGCACTGTGAAAAGACAGAGTATTGTCTTTTCAGGGCTTTTACTTTATCTCTAAGATTAGAAACAATAGTATCTTCTAGTTTGTCAGCTACAAAAAAGAATAAAACTGTAGTGTTATAGAACGGTATTATAGAGTTGATTATTTTTCCAGGTGGAAGTGTTTTTGAGGATCTTGAATCCCCCGAATCTTGAGTCATCTTAGACTTTTAAAACAGTAGCTTTTGGGGTGCCTGGGTGGCTCAGTCAGTAAACTGTCCAACTTTGGCTCAGGTCATGATTTCAACAGTTTGTGAGTTCAATACCCACATCTGGCTCTATGCTTACAATGCAGAGCCTGCTTAGGATTCTCTCTCTCTGCCACTCCCCTACTTATGCTCTCTCTTTCTGAAAATAAAGAAACTTAAAAAAATGAAAGTAAATAAAATAGTAGCTTTTGAAACCCATCTGACATTGATTCACATTATAAGAAAATACCTTTAAAAGGAATTTCTTAGGAGTATCTAAAGGGAATAGTTATAGCATAGTGGATTAAACACAGTAGTATTGCCTTTTTGGAAAGGGAAGCTGAAAGATGTTTTAGCGTCTTGCTACTCAAAGTGTAGTCCGTGGAACAGCATTATTTGGAGCTTGTTAGAAATGTAAAGATACAGAGTACCACCCTAAACCTGCTGAATCAGAATTTTCATTTTAACCAGATCCCCAGATAATTTGGGTTTGAGAAGTACAATTCTAGGAGATTGGTAAGCTTTTCTGACATTAAATTTCAGTGGACTGGCATATTTTTAACATTGTGCCACTCAGTAAGAGTCCTCATAATGCCATCTTGTGGTTCTGAAAATATTTTTACACATTTATTATTTGTTATATCACATGACCTTTATTTTTCTTCTATAATCATAGGATTTGGTACTGTTAAAAACTTCTTCCCCCATTTCAACCTCAATCCAACTTATTCTTCCTCCTCTTCATTCCTATTCCAAAAGCTTGGGCACATTTTCCCTTGATCACATATCTTTAATGGTTCTCCATTGTCTGAAAAATGAAACTCCTTATAGTCTGACTCCAGCCTTCTTTTTATTGCCATCTTCTGTTCAGTATTCTCCCTAACTAAATTTAGGTACTCACCATTTTCAGAATTCTCACTTCGATGCTTACAAATCATTGTTTGTGCCTAGTATGCTTTTCCCCTTCACACTTCAGCCTTATAATGTTCTGTTTATCAAGATTACCTTGAGGTGCCTGGGTGGCTCAGTTGGTTAAGCATCTGGCTCTTGATTTCAGCTCAAGTTGATTTCAACTCACAGTTGGTGAGTTCAAGCTCCACATCAGGTTCTGTGCTGATGGTGCAGAGCCTGCTTGGGATTCTCTCTTTCTCCCTCTCGCTCTGTTCTCTCTCTCTCTCTCTCTCTCTCTCTCTCTCTCTCAAAATAAATAAAATTAAAAAAATTTTTTTTTACCTCAATTATTATCCTCATTCTGGCTTCTTTGATCACTTTAGCACACGTAGATCTCTCTCTTTTTTTTTTTTTTTTAAATGTTTACTTATTTTGAGGTGGGGGTGGGGCAAAGGAAAAGAATCCTAAGCAGGCTCCTCACTCTCAGCTCAGAGCCTTATGTGGGGCTTAATCCAATGAACTGAGATCATGACCTGAGTTGAAATCAAGAGTCAGATGCTCAATCAACTGAGCCACCCAGGTGCTCCTAGAATTCTCTTTTTATGAAATCAGTTACACTAAGTTCACCACTCTTAGGTACTATGCCTCATTTCAGTTATGCATTTTAGAGTAAAGTTCTTTAAAAGCAGTGATCTTTCAGGGCACCTGGGTGGCTCAGTCAGTTGAACATCTGACCGGCTTAGGTCATGATCTCATGGTTCATGAGTTCAAGCTCTGCATGGGGCTTGCTGCTGTCAGTGCAGAGTCTGCTTCGGATCCTCTGTCTCCCTTTCTCTCTGCCCCTCTCCTGCTCATGCTTGCTCCCTATTTGCCAAAAATAAATAAACATTTTTTTTAAAAAAGCAAAAAAACAAAAAGCAGTGATCTTTCTTGCACATTCCCAGAGAGTCTAGCATTATACATACTTTCTGAAGATTTCATGTTTACCTAGCTGCCTTGTAGTGCTGTCTTGTAGGGTAAAAGGAGTTTTAGTGAAGCTGACACAAGCTGAACATATGAAAGCTTATCCAATATTAACTTTGTCCAGTGACGTTCCCTCTCCAAAAATAATTATTTGTTCACCAAATGCTGCGTGAATTTCTGCCCTTAAGGAATTTGCATCTTTCTTCTATCTGCTTTAATTCAGTTATTTACATAAGGCAGGGGAGTGAGGGTAATTTATAACAAGATTGTTTCATTGTCCCATTGGTCAACTTAGTGAATTCATGTATTTCTCATTTATTACTGTGTTGCATTTTCACTTGGCCCATCAAACTAGCCTCAGGGGCAGGGCTTTTCATTCTAGAAAAGAGATCCAACTAGAAA